GAGAGAGAGAGAGAGAGAGAGAGAGAGCGGGCGGAGGGCATGACCGAGCGGCGCGATCCTGGCCGGCGCCCGCGGAGCCCCAGGCGCAACTGGTGCGAGGCGGGTGCAGCGCCGCGCTCGGGCCGCGCGCCCCCGGGTGGCTTGGCAAGGCGGGGCGGCGAGTGCGCGGGGCCGGGCCTTTGCATGAAGCCGCTGGACCCCTCGGAGCAGCGGCAGCAGCGGCGCAGGCCGGCGGCGCGCGGTCGGAGCCGGGCGGCCCCGGGGTCGGCGTCCCGGCGTCTTCGCGGCTGCGGGCTCCCCCATGGGCCGCCGCTGAGGCTGCCCGCGGCCGCGGGGCGCGGGGCGAGGGGCGCGGTTGAGACCGGGAGGCGGCGGCCCCCGAGGAAGCGCAGGAGGCCGGGCCCGGGAGGCGGGCAGCGCCGCGCCGCAGCCCCGGGCTCGCCATGCTCCTGGCCTCGGCCGTGGTGGTGTGGGAATGGCTGAACGAGCACGGCCGCTGGCGTCCCTACAGCCCGGCGGTGAGCCACCACATAGAGGCGGTGGTGCGCGCGGGTCCCCGCGCCGGGGGCAGCGTGGTGCTGGGCCAGGTGGACAGCCGGCTCGCGCCCTACATCATCGACCTGCAGTCCATGAACCAGTTCCGCCAAGACACGGGTGAGCTGCCCACATCCCCTGTCTGTCCCCGGAGCTTCCGCCTGGCGGGTCCGCCGTGACCCACCCAGTGGGCAGCTTCGCTTGCTGGTGTCAGCGGTAGAGGTTGAGGGCAGGTGCTTCCCTTCCCCAGATCCTCTCAGGATCCCGAGACCACCTCCTAGTAAATGTCCTTGCAAGTAGTTTTAAAGTGTCTTGGCTATGCAAACCCGGCTTCAGCCCGGCTGTGGGGAACCCCTTCATGCCCCTTCAGCCCCTAGTGGCCCTTTGTGCGGGAACTCTAGGGCTTTGCAGCCCCCGGGCAATGCTGACTCCCCAGCGAGACGCTCTTTGAGCCCCTTGGCTGCTCACACCTCAGCTGCCCCTGCTTTGCCTCAGGCACCTTTGGGCCTACCATACACCTCCACCCCCTTCAACCTTATTGCCTCTGGCCTTCTTCCATAGACCCAGCCTTCCCACTGCCAGCTCCTGGGTGTGGAGCTTGGAGAGGCATAGGGGTTCCCAGTCTCTAACTGCAGTCAGTGTGTGAAGGTGCTGGGACATTGCTAGGAGAGAGAGTGGGCCGGGGGTTCTGGGGCTGGAGCACCCTGGATGAGATGGCACCCACAGATGCCTCTGCACTCCAAGCACTGAAGCAACAGGCCAGAGCAGATGGAGAGAGGAGGGGGAAGGCCTGGGCTCTGGAATGCCTGGCAGGGAAGCTGCTCCTTTTGTCCATGGAGAAGGAGAAGGAGGGGAGATTCAGGAAGGAGGAGGAAGGCTGAGAAGAAACTGTCCCCAGGTTTTTTCCTAAAGTAGTGCACAGGGGCCATCAATCTGGCCTCCCAAGGCACTAAACTTATCTTTCCATAAAACCTAAGCTGCTACCAAGACTGCCACAAATCTCCCAGCTCTGCAGCCTGTATCGAGCCCGGCCAGGATGGGAACTGCGGAGGTTAGAGTTTGGGTTTTGAGTCACTGCAGGGGGAAGAAAACACGTTGCTCTCTTCTTTGGCTCTGGTCTGTCCAGGCTTAACTGATGACTTGGGACAAGTTTCAGTCTCCAGAGAGTAATCTCTTCAATTAGGGATCATTTCTGGAATTCTGGCTGGCCTTTCCCAAGGGTGTGACTGCAGAGCCGGGAGAAGCAGGTGTGGTGGGGAGAGAGAAGAGGAGATGAGGAGGAGGAGGGCCCTGTGGCTGGGGGAACAGCTGCTGGACAGGTCCTCTGAGCTTCCTAGGAAAGCCCTCACATCCTGTGCTAATTGAAATTGTCATGGGAAAGAGGTATAGTTCCTCCCTCTTGGAATCTGAAGTCATAATTCTGAGCAACCTCTTCGCCAAGAACTGTATGATCATGGACAACAGGGGGAAAACTTTCTGGGGGAAGGAATTAAAGAAGTTTTAGCATCTGGCTGGCTTGAACTTTGATAGAGAAAGTGGGGAAGAGCAGCGGAGAAGACTGAGGAGAGGAGGAAATAAAGAGAAATGTTGGGAAGTGGGGAGAGAGGATTAAGTGTGGCCTGAGAGTAGGAAGAAGATGTCATTGTGCATCTGGGGAGAGAAGATGGAATTAAGGGGCGAGGCCTCAGATGGAGGGTGTGGGGGGGGGCGTGTGTGGAAGGAGCAGCTGAGCCCCGGAGGTGGGATCAGCAGACCGCCTGACAGGGAGTTCCAGGCTTGCCCAAAATAAAGCAGAAAGTTTAGCTCTTCTATTTCCGACTATATCTGGGCGGCATATGGAGAGCCAGCCGTGCTAGCACTGGGCAGGCCTTCGCCCCTGCCCCACTGCTGGAAGTGGCAGGTTTAGCCTGTGACTGAGTGGAGCCCTCTAAGATGGACTTAGAACTAGGAGCATTCATGATGCAGAAGCTGCTCCTGACAAAAGTGAACTTCTGGAGAACTTGGAAATAGTGACAAAATCTCCTTCCCGGGGTCTGGCTGCTGCTGGCTCTTCTCCAGGGCAGTTGCCTATGGCCTACTGGTTAAGGCAGGCCGCTCAGCGCTGCAGTTGCTTCGGTTTTATGCCCCGAGCCGAGAAATAGCCGTGATCCTAGGCAAGTGCTTTGCCACTGATCTGCTCTTTCTGCCTCTGCACCCTCCTTTTACAAATATGATCTAGGTATTTATCCAGGCTGGAGTCGAACTGGACAGCTACCTGTCTCCACCTTCTGAGGGGTAGGATGACGGTATGCACCACTACCCCAACCTGGATGCTTTTGAAGATTCCCTTGTGTTCCACATCTGCACTGCTTTGGTTTCATCCTCTCTTTCCTGCATCACGATCACTTTCCTAGGCACCATCACTCTCCTCTCCTCCACACCAAGTGCTAGGCAAGGGTGCTGAAGGCATGAGGCTGACTTCCTAGAAACACTGGGGCTGCCAGGGAGTTCGTCAGCCCGGATTAGAATTCCTTCGTGTCAGCTATAACCCCCTTCTGCTTCCTTCTTCCTCAACACAACAACTCAGTTCCTCTCAGTATAGACCATTGATGAGACTGTGACATGGTGGGGACTTTAAGCCACCAGCTCCCAGGAAACCTCAGCCAAGCCCTGGCAATGTTTAATTACATCACCCACTGTTCCCGAGCCACAATTTAAAGCTGGGGACCAGAAAAATCCCTGCAAAGACAGGCAAGCCCGAAGTCCCCTACCTAGCAGCAATTCCTCTCTTCGGTTGCCTTGCTTTATAGGCATTTGACATGAGCGCTTTCTCTTCTTTCAGCACTTGTATGCTTGGATACCTAGTAAGTCTTAGGTCTCTCCATTCATCAGAGCTCTTGACTGCACCCAGACTGTCTCCAGGGAGACGGCAGGGAGGTTGCAGACACCCATGTGCCTGCTTCTGTTTGCCCTGGATTCTCCTTCCCCAGACTCTTGCAGATAGGGGCTGATTGACGTTCTAGGCTATTTTGGCATTTGGGCTGGAGAATATTGAAGAAGGTAAGGAAAGAAGAGGGTAGGAGTTAATCCTGGCCATTTCTGCAAGTCTTGGTGAAGTCTTCTTCATGCATAGTGCTCTCTTGTCATTTTCCTTCTGTTTTGTAGTGAGGCCTTTTCCTAACTGCTCAGGCCTTTTCCTTTGCAGACTGAAGAGAAGCAAAGAGGCCTTTTCTTCCAGCATAGGCTTCTGCAGGTGTGTGGGTCGTAGCCCCTGCACCAACAATAATTTTTATGAAAACAGGTTGATGCAAGAGCTAATCCTTTCCAGCTCAAAGTTTTAAGTACTGGCCTGCCTCTCTCTCTCTCTCTCTCTCTCACATCATTAATGTAATGAGACAAGTCCAGTGGAGTGAGTGGGATTACAAGATTTGACAAAATCTCTCGTATTGCTTCCTACCCAGTGTGGGCACAGGAATGGAGGAGGTAGGCATTGTGGTGAGCATATGGATGCCACAGTATAGAGGAGACGTGTCCATGATATGCCATGAAAGTTGCACAGGTGTCTGGTTTAATCTTCACAAGGATTCTATGAAGAGTGTTATCTCAATTTTATAGAAAAAGGAACAAGTTGAAAGAGCTTAAATTGCTCAGGGGTTCAGGTTACTTTGTCAATGACAGAGCTACGAGTCTAAAGACATGGCCCATGAGCCCTTCCTGCATTTACGAACATTGTGGACTGATTTCATGTGCAGTTGCAGGCATGTGGAACCTAGCAGTAATAGAACATCCAAGTCTTTGCCCTTATGGAGTGTTCTACACTGAGGGTGGGCTGAAGTGGTGCTAGTAAGAGGAGCTTAGGGCTTGGGCACTGCATCCTGTAAAAGCGCAGGTTTGGTTTACACATCTTAGAGACTTCAGCCTGTGCCTGGAGTACTGTCTTCTGTTTCCCAAGAGACAAACCTTCTTGGATGCTTTTGGATGCTTGTGTCTGGGTGCCTGGGAGAAAGCAACGTTTCCTTCTCTTCCTACAGGATGTTTGTGAACATTCTGTATTCTTACCGTATGGGAGACCCTTTTCCTGGATCATCACATTATAGGACAAGATGGAATGTTTTCAGAGTATCTAATCCATGGTCCTGGTTCTAGAATGGCTTGGGGCTGGGATATTCTGGGCAGCGGTTTTCAGCCTGTGTGTCAGATTCCCATCGTGGTCACATATCGTATGTCCACATTATGATTCATGAAAGTAGTACAGTCACAGTTATGAAGGAGCAATGAAAATAATTTTACGGTTGGGGTCACCACAACATGAGGAGCTGTATAGAAGAGTCACAGCATTAAGAAAGTTGAGAACCACTGCTCCAGAAAGTGAGATCTCACCTTCTCTCATCTCCCAAATTTTTGGTTTTGAGGTTGTATATTTTTAATATACGAAAGGGCAGAAGTGAATTCAGCAACTTTCTCTTCAAAAATTAGCTCATCTTCACATTCCTCTGTTTGCTACCATTTTGCCGTTTCCTCGTGGTCAGCCTCAGGAATCTTTGACTCATTCTCTTATCCAGAGGCAGAGTGGCTAATATATCCTGGAATGCAAAAACGTGTCGCTGTCAGTTGGAATGTTAATGTGCGTGGAGAGAACTAGATTCCCAGGCCAAAGCTCTTGGGTCTTGAGGTCATTGCTGGACCTCTGTGGATTAGGAACAAGTGGCCTTGAGACCTCATTTACAGAGCGTCCAGCTGCCCAGCCCTCTTGTATCTCCCACATCACTTTCTGCCTTCACCAACAGCTCTCTGCTCACTGTGAGCTGATTAGGTGAGCAGCTTAGCTCTGGTCGCTTAACGCATTAAACCACTTCACTAGCTCTTCATTACCTGAAAACAAAATCCATCACACCTTGACTTTCCAGACCGTCCATGCCCCAGCTCCAGCATTGTCCTCCATGCCTTAGGTTTTCCCAGGAACACAGAGGTTTCCTCTACTCCAGCTAGTCACACAGTTCCCCCTTGAAGTAATGCCCTTTCCTACCATCTGAATAGTGAAATTCTCTTTATCTTTCAAGTCTTCGGTCATTTGTCATCTGTTTCTTCAAAAGTTCTGCAAACCGTCATTACTTCAGCTAATAATCAGTATTTCTTGAGCCCCCAGGGCATGTCAAGCCTTTGGGACAGAGCGAGGGTGGACAGTTTTATGCCCACTGTCACCAGGTTGAGGATCTAGGGAGGGAGGCGGGTCCTGGTCTAATTAGCCACATAGACAACTGCAAACTTCACTGACCTCAGGGTCAGTGCTGTTAAAAAGTAGGAACAGGATTTTGACTTGGTCATAGGTAGAAGTTTTCTCGTGGTGAAACAAGTCTTATTTAGCTTGAAAGAGCAAACGAAGGACTGACTGATCGAGAGGGAGAACTTAGAATCACGAAGAGTCCCAGAGTCAGAGAAGAATAGCAGTGGGAGAGCCTGGAGGCCAATGTGAAAGACACATGTGCAGAGAAAGTGGGGAGAAGGAGCTGTAGAGGTTGGTGAGAACGGAGATCTGATCCTAGCCTGAGGAAATATTATGGGAATATTTAAGCAGAGAAGGGGTTTAATCATTTTTCCTGCCAACTTGCACTTTCCTAGTGTCCTTTGGCTCATTCTGCATCATAGACAACCACTCACATTCGTCTCCTCACTCCTTTTGAGACTGTGTTCCGCTTGAGGAATGCCTGAGTTTTGCGTTCTCCATAGCAACTAATGGGATGCTGAGCAATATGCCATCAACGAGTAAATATGATAGTAGCCAGAGTGTTCAATCAATCGTGGCACAGTTTATGGTGCTTTTATAACTGCCAGACATTGCACTAGGGAGTGGAATACAAAGAGCTACGCAGCCGTGTCCCTGCCCCCACTCGGCACCTACAAGAACAGTAAACTTCGCCATCTGAAAACAATCAGCCAAGTTCTGCACCTCAAACTTCCTGAGGAGCGGGGCTTGGACTAGAACATTTCAAGAATGGGTGAACAGTGGCATAAGAACTGAAAGAGAGAAGAATTAAAGTTGGTGAAAATGGAAAAGTGGGTGGAAAGGTTGTGAATACTTGGGGATCTGCAATGGAATGCCTGAGAATTAAGGGGGTCTCCATTTGACAGAAGTAGTGGAAAATACAGAGGATAGAAGGAAATAAACTAGGAATGTGTGTATGGAGATGGAGCCAGGACATGGTCTAGAGAGTTCAGAGACAATGTATAGACGTTTTCAGGATTGATAACTTTATTGTCTAAAAAAACAATCAAACAAAAATCAAAAATTCCTTTTAAATGCATTTGTAAGAAGTGTATTGCTCCAGTTCGCTAGAGGGAATTTTTACAAGTGTCATTAAACTCTCTGAACTTAATTTTCTTAACTGTATAAAAGATGTTTTATATGATTGCCATGGAATTTGTACAGAATTGGGTACCTGTCTGAGTGTAAAGATTGTGCAAATAAGGGCAGGGTGATTTCCTATTCTCCCCCCGTGCATCTCTCCAACACACACACACACACACACACACACACACACACACACACACACACACA